CGAAGTGGTGGCCGAGCACGCATGTCCGTGTTGAGAGACGTAAGGCTAGTGCACGGCCGACCGTTGACTCGCACGTGAGCTGCAGCTGCCATCAACGAACGCCAAACTCATCATGCCAGTATGTACGGCCAAACTTTGACCTTGCAGTTGCTCTCCGAACAGGTACACACCCGCGTCCCAGCGCCCCGCTTATGCAGCGCCAGTGAGTGTGCCACCTTTCGGGGGACAGTGCATCGACCATACCGTTGATTCATTTTTGAACCGTTCAACCAGTTTCTGTACCGAAATGTGATGGGAAACCCCTTGAACTTTTTCTTCTGAACCTTGAACCGAGAAATCTAAGTCCCACTGAACCAATGTATGAATTTCCTAAATCACTTAATGCTTGATTAAGTGAGTTTGTTGATTATTGCTTAGCCGTGAGAGGGATGTACCTCGAGACGGCAGGAATTTGAGGTGTTGTATTGTCAAGCGGAGTCTCGAGTCTATATTGGAAACTATGCAATCACCGTGGGATTGATTTTGGTATAAATGTCTTCCTGAAGGTCGCACCCTGAGGAGTGTGATTCGCTTCGGGAAGAAGAGAAGTTTCGGCCTTATTATATCGTAGTCTTTCAGTATCTCGCACGAGTCAAAGACTTGGCCTACCGGTTAGCCTTACCGCATGTGTTGTCGGAGTGTCTGACCCCGAACACGTAGTGGACTTCGTCGAGTTGCAGGTCGAGTGAGGCCTTACCTATGAGTAGGTACCGGTGTTCGTACTGGACCAAAAGGTTCATCAACTGAGGATCCGGGCAGTTGATCTTGTCGAGGTGCAATGGAAATGGCACGGCAAGTCCGAGGCGACTGGGGAGACCGAAAACCGGATTAGGAGGAGATATCCGAACTTCATGTTGATGTGGTATGTTAAAGTTTGGATGTTTTTAGTTTCGAATTCCAAGGACGGAATTCCTTTTAAGGTGGGTAGACTGTAATGCCCCGTTTATTTGTGAAATATTTGGGATTATTTGTTTATTTATTTATATTAGTATTATTGTTGTTGTTGTTATCATGCTTGAGATTTATTTG